TTGTTAAAATGATTCAAACTCAAAACTGAAAGAAACAGAAACAGAAACAGAAACAGAAAACGTACTGGACAGAAAAGTTACAAAACTAACATCAAAATTCTAGCTAATCCTGTGTTAGTTTAATCAGGCTTTGAACAACCCGGTCCGGGATATTTGAGACTGTGGTGACCTAGTTATGTACCAGTATTGGTACAATGTTGGTTTATTGCAAGAAATATATAGAGAGACTGTTGCTAAGTTGAAATTTATATCACTCGAGTGAAATAAAGTCTCCTTAAGTTGCCTTAAGTCACCTTAAGTCGCCTTAAATCGCCTTACGTCGTCTTAAATCGCCTTAATTATAAGTCGCCTAAAGTCGCAATGTTTTTCTTGCCAATTTTGCTTAAGTCGCCCAAAGTCGCCTTAAATCGCCTAAAGTGGCGACTCAAGGCTTCAGAGTAGGCCTTACGGATGAGTAGGACGTAAATGCAAACTTGACTTGAATGCATTAATCCGATTTTGATTATTTTCTTTAAATCGCCAGCAAAACGCAGTAATGTTCTTCACCGTTGTGCTTAGATGACGATTTCGTAGTTCCTCTTCATGTGTAATTTTTCTTATTTTTTTCTAATTATCCCAACTACGATGCCAAACGATTTTTATGAAACACCAAGTACATTGTCAAACTGGCGGTTCAAAGGAATTAATACGGCTTGGGTGCATGATGAAAACGTGAATAGCAAAACCTGAATAAAGATATTCAAGACTATTAGTTTAACCATATTGATCACAAGCAGGACTGAAAAACGGAATTCCCGTATTCCTAGTTTTACCTCTCTAACCATGCGTGAATGGTCCTTGCTTTTCATATTCTCGCGATTTCTACATTTAACGCTAGTTTGCCTTTAGTCGTATTGTTTCAAACATGCCATAGCTAGGAAATTAACGTTTGACTCTTTTTCAATGAAGTCCTCAAATATTTTCCTTGACATTATTACACTAGACAGCGACCACAAACTTTTTTCTGTTCATGTCAGTATGATGGAAAAACGCCATGAAATGTTATCCAAATGTGATTTTGTTTTCCTGTATTGTTTCATAAGCAAGAGAAGAAAGCTGAAAATATCTTTTGTTGTGTATGTAAAAGCAACCGAAATAACTGCAGTGTCACTTATTGAACATCAATTTGTTTATTTTTATAAATGTCTGTGGTCTTCATTTTAACGCCGGCTCAACTTTATTCATGGCCGGTCCTAGCCACTAAAAATGTAACAGTTACAGTTCTTTTCTGCACTGCGATTAAAACGAAGGAATCAAATTTCTTAGTGTATGCCAAATCTTTTCTTCTCGTTTCGGCGAAGTATTTTCCATACTTTTTGAAAGCGCAGTTAATGGTGAAAGGCCTTTAACATCACAAAAAATTTTCCCCAAGAGCGACAGAACGAGATTTAAACAAAAAAAAAGTTTTTGATCAATAATCGTTCGGATATATTGTAAATAAAGGATTGATTTTATTGGTTCAGTGTTCAATGATGCAAATAGATTACTTG